CCCGTAATTCTAATTTATAATCTTCTTGTAGAATTTTCTCAAAACCGTGACTGAATTCCAAAATTTTCGAGAGCTGCCAAAGCATAGCAAGCACACGTATCAATATCCCGGTTTAAGACATGTTATTACTCGATGAAAATATGGTGTTGTTATTGTTGTTGTTGTTTTTAACTTTAACTTTAAATTTCAAATTAAATAGTCACTTATTTGTAAACAAGATGGTAAACATTTGTTGTTTTCTGTATTTTTGTTAAGATTGTGATAAAGCTGACTTTTTAATATTAACGATTATCCATCGTATACCTGAATGCAGTTATAATTGAATCTAAAAAATGAATTATGCAGATATTATTTTTTGCAGAAAACAACAAATACAAACAAAACAACACACAAAAAACCTACATGCAGCATACATGTGTAATGTTCACAATGTGCTGAAAAACGGCTCTTTCTTAATTTTAACATTTCAGCAAGTGACACATTTTATAAAAGAATTGGACAGAAATGTTATTTAAAAAGTAGGTTGGATATTTTTTAACCTAGTTTTTTATATATAAACCTGAGGTACAGAAAATTGACAGAAAACAACTTTCATAGATTGAGATAGAGCCAAGATGTCGTAGATATTTGGGTTACAAAAGGAGTTTTTGATCCTGATAATGTTTTAAGTAGGATAAACATATTACAAGCTTAAATTCTTAAAATTTTGTACTGCCTTAATTTTTTTAAATACTTGCAATTATGTAATTTTTATGTCTTTAGTTAGTTTCTGGAGAAAAGGCTTAACAAAGGTGGTATCTTTTTATTTTATAGATAAATTTTATAATGTGTCACATGTCGCCTTGAAAAAAGATTTTGTAATAGTTTTGCGCATACTTAATCCCGCTTTTGCATGTTGGAACAACAATAGTTCATTTGTTTGTATACACAGCCTAATTGCTTATTTTGTGTAGTCTTATTTTATTGACCTGCCAATCATAAATACATTACAGCACTAATTGAAATATTATATTACACTTCGATTTCGTTGGTAAAGGTTACGAGAATTAATATGGAGTATATAGAGGACATTTGTTTGTTTGTGTACAAGATGAAATTTTATTTCATCGAGTGGGCTTTAAAAACAGTATTCCACGAGTGGAGTGGCCACGAGTGAGAATACTGTTTTTAAAGTTCACGTAAAAGTTTATTTCTTAAAACACTTTTTGTGTCGGTTTGTGTTGTTTTTATGGCATTGAAATGACATTTTTTTGACATTTCAAAATAATTTTTAAATATTCATTTTAAACCATAAATACCATAATAAGTGCAAAATATATGAAAACAAAATGAACAACTTAAAAAAAATCATAGCTACAAATAATGTTGAAAATTACGAAACACCTGAAGTGACATATTCCACATTTTCTTCCTGAATTGAATTCGTTTTTACGAGATAATAATTTCCAATTAGAAATATTATTTCGTTTTAACGAAACATAAAATCTTAATTACGAAATATTGATTCGTTATTACGAAATATTATTCCGTAATTACGTATATTAATTTGTTAATATTTATTCTTTAGTAATATTTATAAACTAAGTTTATTGTTAAATATAAGTCAAGTAAACAAAACATTAAAAGTGTTTTTTTTTTTCAATCTTACTCTTATACTATAACGCGCTGACATTAGACTTATAATCGCTATATTTGGTGGCCAATCTCATTAAAATCCGATCATATTGAATAATCATTTGATTTTGACAAGAATAATTAATTGCATCATATTGTATCATAGTTTAAATGACCTATTATAGTCTTTTTAAGCAGCCATTTTGAATTGACCTTTTGAAGGTCAGGGTCAAGTTTATTTTCTTGGTATCCACCCTCATCGTCTTCAGCATACCAGTATTAGGTTAAAACACTCAAGATATTACTTGTACTATAAAATGCCTCCAGCATTCATATTTTCTTAAAATCAGTCTTGTCTAGTATATAATACACAAGAATTGGCCTATCTTTACCAAACATTATCAATTTAAGCTACAATACATTTTCTTTTATGTTATGCATACACAAAAAAAGCAAACTCGCAGTTTTAATTGTGACAAATGAAGGGGAATAACTTAGGTAACTTTACATAACCAGTATTTTAGCATTTACTTCCCCTTAATAATTCATGATTAATATTAATAGAATTCATTTCTATAATAACAAACACTTTCTGATTGTGGTAGTGGGTCTTTTTCATTTATTGGAATTAAGTCATGAGATTGAACTTTGTTATTATATATTTATAAATATTTTTCCAGAAGATACCTTCCATAATTCTGTGTTACTAAATCATAATTTTATGACCTTTTAACCTATATTTAAGGTTTATTAACATATACTAAAACAAAAAAGTTTTTTCTGCTGTCATGATATCTCTTTTTTCAAGTGCTGATTCAAATAAAACAAACAGAATCGTGATTTACTTCCATTGCCTTATCATAATTTTCAGCGCAAAATGGTTGTAACTTGAGATACAACCATTTTGCACAAAATATTTTAGCAATTTTAGATACAACCTTTCGACAAAAATTGATTTAACTTGTTAATTTTCAGAATTCATTAATTATACTTACTGAAGATATGTATAACCACAAAATACATTGAAAATGTTAAAAATTTTATTTTGTGAAAAAAGTAAGTTACAACTGTTTTGCGTTAAGCCCGCGATACATGTACCATCCAAGGTAAATATTCAGAAACAACTTAAAGACCTTAACCTATGTATAATTTTTCATTAATCCTTAAAAGCATTCACATAAAGCTTCTTACATGCATTCAGGGTAATAATTGTAGATCACTGACTGTCCCTTGTGACCATACTTCAGTATATACATATTAATATACATGTGCATGTAGAAACAAAGTTATTATGGAATGTATTAAATTAAACATAATGTACCTTATTCAATATAAAGACCTAAACTGATGAAATGTTTTCTAGTCTATATAACTTTCTTTTAAAAGAATTCGTTATCAGATCTATTCATTGTCCAAAATTAGTCCTTTACTATCTTTAGGACTTATATGTCCTTTGTTGGCCATATAACAAGGCCAGTGTAAGGAAGAGCTGTCCCTGGTTATGGATTCCAATTATGTAAACCTTCCATCATTCAGCAGTAGTCTGACACATTACAGAGAAAAATCTGACTTAAAATCAAATAATTAACATTGGAATTTGATTGTACTGACAATATTTTGTTTTACAAAGTATTTAATATGAAATGTCATGAACAGATAAATATGAAAATGTATAATTCAAATGAAATCTTTAAAAACTAAACGTGAATAGCTTTTATTCAATAATTCTGTTACTAGTGTATGTCTTTGAAATATGTGAATTTGTCAGTCACAGTCATTGAGCTTTTAATGAAGTTCTTACTGTTGAATTTGTTTTTGATTTTCCTTTATAACTGTGACATCAGTTCCCTGACAGTGTAAGGTCATTTTACTTTTATATAACTGTTTCTAAAATAAGTGTTTTCACTATTGACCCTGGTGATATACAGCCTCATCATTGTTAATGTCCACTTTTACAAACACATTGATGAGCAGATGCACAAAGTACTAACTATTCATGCTACCTTAAATCTGTAAGGAAAATCAGATGAAAATTCAGCTACAATTTCATAGACTCTATATAGCATATACAAGTATAAACAAAAATCAAGTGATACATGAAAAGAAGCCTACTAGGGTAATATCTACATAAACCTTAACGAACCTATGAGTAAATATTATAATGATTCCCACAAATTTAAAATTACTACAATATATTACAATAGTATTTGTTTAAATGTGGAAACAAGACACTTAACCTCTGGAAACACTTCACATCCCAAAATCAGTAAGAAACTTCACCCATCATCCCTGATTATTTCCAGAATAAATATTTCAAAAAAAATCTTTAGTTTAACTCAAGGCAATTGTCAATATTTTAAACACTGACATGTTAACTTGCAACATAGACCTTTGATATATTACACAATTTTCTATAACATTACATGAAAGGCAATTTAAAGTATCAATGCAACATAAAAATAGATAAAAATCTGCTATATAATTGTTAAAAAAAATATTCTGTTTGATTTTCAACCTTACTATCAATGTACTGTCAATCTGGGACATACATGTATGTCCCAGTATCAATGTTTGAACATAAATGAAGTATGAAAGAGATATTTCATATCTAAGATAGTACTACGTAAGTCACCCACTTTAAATGACCAATACAAAATAAGTTATCTTTAACAGTCAAATTTACATTGAAGTTTCAATGTGATGTTACAATAGATTTAACACTGTACATAAACATGCACGCGAAAAACTTACGTTAGTTAAAAACTTCAATTGCTCAAATATTTGTGTTTGAAAGTCCTTGTCGGGAATAATGCGGTGATGGCCACCAATTTTAAGATCTTAAGCCTACTTACGACTGGTTTGAAGCAGCCTTAAAGTTACGACGTAAATCTACGACGTCTTAGCTACGACCATGTTGATAAAACGCGACGTAGCCGTAAGATCGGTCATACGACCAAATCATAGCTACGAAATAAAACGTCATCCTGAAATTGATGAAATGTATAGTTAGTAAGAGTGTTTACCCAGATTCATCAAATAAACCATAACTCTTAATAGTCAACTGGGACAATGTGATACATGCAAAGACTTTTCATTTTGTTCATCAGTTAGGGTTATAAGAAGAGGTGACAAATTCCTCTGCCCTTTCTGTAGTGACACCAGCAACTAAACTTTTGATAGAAAAACAACAACTGTAAAAATGTTTCTAACAGTTAAAAGTCTTAAAACAGATAAAATATTACTTACGGTTTAAGTTGTGAAGGTTATTTAACTTATGTGACGCATACTTTTTAGTGCAGTATATGTTTGAAACGGGTTCTACTTCTGTAATCTCCTACGCAGTGATCTCTTTATCAGTACAGAGTACAATCTGCCAAGGGAGGTAATCACTGTGAGGAGTTTGATTTGGGACATTAGATCCGCCATATTGAATGTGGATTACTAAAACAAAAAAGCCGTGAGTACATTCTATTTGTTTCATGAATCAGCGGGAAGACGATTTTATAATATTCATGACAAATTATCATTATTATTATTTATTTTCTTCAACATAAATAGTAGTTTACGCTCCGATATATTGTTTAGTTGCCGGAAACGGGTTGTGCCGGGATATATGTACATTTAATTTGATATAATTATCTATGAGGGGCGTCAGTGGCTTATAAATTAAGGGTTTTTACTTCAAATTACTTGCCTTAGACCGCTGTTGGTTTGAAACCTGCCAGGGACGTTCGATTCTTTAAGGTATTTCTACTCTGGTGCCTAAATAAATGCACAGAGGGGCACCAGAAGTCTTTCTTGTCCAGTAAAGATGTAAATTGACAATATTATGGTGTTCTTTTTAACCCAAAATCAAAATCTACAAAAAAGTCAAGCTTGTCTCTGTTTTGTTTAACTTTGGTCGGATATAAATTTTAGTTTTAGCCACCAAATTCGCCAATCAGAAAAAATGGAACAAATGGCTCCAAAGTTGGAGCCAATAATTCTGCAAAGGAGACATGCCTTTCTTTGTTAAGATATGCTAGAAGTAATATGTCATTGTGATTACTAACTAAAGTCTTCAGCGTACCCGTTTATATACTATGACATGACGTGAACGCTGAAGACAGACCCGTAGGGAAAGTCCACCAATAATCGTGCCAGGAATTTGACACGCTCGTATTCATTCATCGAACATGCTACGAGGTAAAGTGAAGCATACCAGAAACTATATATAATCTGTATACTATATATAAAACCAATATAATCTGTTGATAAACCAAAGATGGACAAATAAAAATCTTATTACGAACAAAATCTACCTAAAAGTTTCCGACAGGTAAAAAAATCAGCACTTGGCTATGGCATGTTAAACGTTGCAAAATTAAATAATTATTGTTTTGGTCTATATCCAGTATTTATATTGTATACCATAATATTTATTCAATCCTAATGAATATTTGTTCATAAAAAATATTTGTGTGCGATAATTTTCTATATATATGTTCTATATTTAAAAATATATTGTTTAATTAAAAATATTTATTGTAGTTACAATGAAAAATATTTTTTCGATAATTTGAATCATGGGATAAAACACTTAGCATATTAAGCCATGCCTATAAATTAAGCACAATGTTTGATAAAGCGTTATCATCCTGATTAAACTAGACTATAGTGAAAATAATAAGTGTCCCTGTGAATGTCAATATATATGTATGTTTAAAAAATAAAATAATTATTTCAAAGTCTTCAGGACATACGAGGGATGATCAAAAATATACCGAACTGGGGCTGTCAATTGAACACTTTTCAAACTATCACTTATTGTTATATTTCATAATTAACCTGTAAACTGATTTCGACAAAAATCATGCAGATTCAGAAAATTCCCGCGACATTTTATGAAGTGATGGTAAAATTCTCGCGGCTTTAAAATGGACGCTATCGGCGACCATAGTAGCCACCGCAGAATGATATATGTAGCGAAAAGTCATATCTGTCCATAAAGTTTTGTTAATGATACATTTCTTACAAAAATGTTGCAAAATGTTAGCCCTATTGTCAGTATACATTATACGTCTGTCTACATTCTTAAACGTGAACGGCATCGTCTGACTACATACTGAATAATTCTTTTATCAACTAGCATCCAAAATGTACCTGTATCATTCGCAGAGAAAATAAAAGACATGTATTTAAGAAACAAGTATTTGCGTGACAAAATTTATAATATTTCTACAAACTATTCAATAGATATAGCTAGTTTAAATGCGTATATCTTTAAACTGAATGTCGTCATAAAAAAGAATATCAATGCTCTAAAATATATCAAAAGTTTCACAAGCACGCAGTATGAAATTAAGAATAGATACGCATCTTTTGTTAGTTCAAATTAATCTATATCACAATATTATGCTTATTGAAATGCTTTATCGATAAAAATACACGATTTATTATTTGATATATGTATTTTGAACGCTTCTTTGATCAGACATGTACTAGTTTCATTGAGGAAATATCAAAACGTGTATGTACAGTTGAAGGAAAATTTAGTGTTTGTCATCCAACGTAAGCTGCTAAATTGATAAATTTATCAATAAATGTGTCCATTTTCATTAATAAAACAATGAGTTTATGTCTAAAGGAGTAATAAAGATAGGGATAATTTTTGATTTCTGACAAAATGCAGGAAATGTGTTAATAATAAATCATTTCTTTCACGTTTGGGTGGTGGGGAAAGGATATCCTGAGCATAAATTTTATACAGTGTCGAACACTTTATTGATCTTTCTCCAAAGAATCAGCAAGATTATCGTTTTATTTCATTTATAAATTGGCCTATAGGTTATATTCGTAAAAGTGCGAACTATTGATAGATATGACCATTTCAAAGGCTTATCACAAAGACATGTTTATGGGCAGTCAAGCCATACCACTGACCAGATTCATGTACGGCGGCCACTCAGTAAAATAGGTGTTTAAGTTCATTTTGTTCATATATATTCGTGTCCGTAAACAAAACAATAAGTGTCACATGACTGTATCCTATTTTCCTATTTGGGCTTGGGCATAGGCGATGGGGTACTGGGGATTTTGATTTTAATAGAAACATTTTTTGACAGGAGCGAGGACGTACTTAACAGTTTTGTAATTTTTACGTCTTGACATTTTTTCCTAAATGTTTCTTTTTGGTAGGAGCACTACGCGTATAAACCTATTCCTGAATAGGAATACTCGCTATTTCACCGCTTTCAAATGCCTTAGATGATAAAAAATAATTGTGTTCATTGAAATGAATTTCAAAATCCTTAAGCATGTGATAATTTGACGGTATACATTTCATCTTAACAGCAATGTTTTCATGTGTTTGTGGTCAACTAATCAATAACACTCACAGTATCTCTGACTGACTTTCAAGCTATGGGGTTTAAGGAATGAAAATGTACTTGGAATAGTAACACAGGTTGCAAATAGAGTTATTAAATTCATGAAGGAATGAAAAATACAAACATAACTTTATTTTAGTAATCAAAATTCTCATTTCCGTTTATCATGTGAGACAGTCACAGTCCGATAGTTATGGGGAATTATTATTGCTCGGGCGGCATCTTGGTCTTGACACTTTCTGTATCAGGTGATTTTTTAACCATTTTAAAGTCTCGTCTCTGTACTATTACTATAATTTAGATTAGACTTTTAATATTGGAAAGATCCTGTTTATATATACCAGACCTTTTTTAAAATCATTCGATTTAAAGTTGACAATTAAAATTGCCTATTTTCTTTTCTAGATGGATAATAGTACTGGAAGAAGCATTATACTCCTCGGAAGCAACGGGAGTGGGAAAAGCTCCGTGGGTAACTCTTTGCTAGGGAAATACGTGTTCTCTCACCCAAAACTGTCAGAATGTAAACAAATAAAGGATTTCAGCAGACAACATAATATTTCTTTAAATATAATAGATACACCTGGACTTTTTGATGCGGACGTTTCGTTAGCTGAGGGCGCTCTTGAACTTCAAAAGTCTTTAAACATCTGCCCTAATCCACATGCATTCCTGATTGTTGTCAACACTAATGATGGCAAGGAATATTTGGACTATACTGTAGATATGCTGCCCCTTATATTTGGCGAAAACGTTTTCGATAATGCTATTGTCTTCGTGAATCATAGAGATGATTATGCTGCAGATTCCTGGGTCAATGAACATCAATTGGTATCGCGTTGTGGTCGCCGTGTTGTAACAGCAAAAACCCTTGATGCTTGTATGAACAAGGTAACAGGTGCTGCCATTCTGAAGAAAGTAAGTTTACTGACAAGTAGTGGAGTATCTGTATATACCCATAAATCTATAGAACTCCACAGACGTGTCCTAATTGGATGCATGTCAGTCTGCGGAACAGGAGACGATATTAGATCTCAGCTGAATGAAATGAATACAAGGCTTAAAGCAATGCTTGATAAAAAGCATTCAAGCAATGTAAGTTATCAATAAATATATTTATATATTCAGAATATATTCAGTGATTATTGCATTACCTGCATTATTTATTTAACTAGTCCAGTACGAATTTTTCTATTAAAATGGTATATACTAGATGGAAGATTTATGCATTTGTTTCGTGCATGAAAATCTGTAGAAGCATTAGAACGCATTTGAACTGCATATTTTAATGCACGAACAATGGTTCAATAGCGCTATTTTTGCATAAAATAAAACCTGTTTCGTCATGTTTTTTTTTTCAGTGTTAGTGCGATGTCAATTGACGGTTATGCTTTCATAATGAAAGTGCCTGGGTCATTTTTAGTGTATTTTTCCTCCATTTAGTGCTACAAATAAACCTACATGTATTTTACTAGCCTGCTAAAGGGTATAACTGGTCTATGTCAGTCAACAGCAAGTTTTATATACCAAAATGTTCGTCTGGATCTATAGTGTCTGCATATTCATTTCACTCAACCCTGATGCGAAGCTGATATATTCAAGATGGCGTCAAAGATGGCTGCCAAATTCCTCAATATTCCTGTTGTCTGTTTTGTAGATCAGTTTAATTTTACATGACATTTTTTTTTTATTTTCAACTACCCATTGCTTTTAACTTTATTTTAATTTTTCTAATCATCACCTAATGACTACGAAAGAAGTAACAATTTGCTTCAAACTAGGTGTCCTTGCTTAAAATATGATAAACAAGATCAACAAGGAAAGGCGGCGTTCAATGAACGCAACCCCCATATGACCAAGCAACAAGAACCCAATGGCAAGGAGCCCAGGTGGACCCCAAACATAAAAAGGACAGGGCAACTTGATGATTTCTTTTCGATAAAACAGAATAACATCCAGGATTCCGTTTAATACAGCTTTATGGTTGTAACATGTTCAATTTTGATTTTATTTATGGTTATTACTTTCTCTACTTTAAAAATGAGCAGTGCCCATAGTCTTGAAGGTTGATGCAAGGGGGGGGGGGTGTGAGAAATGTTCACATTACATAATCCCTTATTAATAGAGTACAATCAAACCGAGCATGCAATTGTCGACTACTCATTTGTTTTCATTGCTTTTGAGTGATCTTCCTTTTTTCCAGATTTCTATACTCACAACAGCAGGCGTCAAGTGCTGTGTGGCAGCCGAAAATTATATAAAAAACCTAAGGTCAACCAGAAAGGACGATTTTCAATGAAAATATTGAAAAATAAGATAATACAAAAAATGAAATAAAAAAATCGGATTCTCTAAAGAACGTACAAAAATACAAAATTGAAAAGTTATGGACTCGGTTTGTTTTAGCCAGTTCATTCCCGATACTGGAATGTGCAAGTTACCGTTCACGCGTCCTTGCACCTGCTTGATCAGAATTCGACATTCAATCATAAAATAATGACATTTGTATTGAGAAACATCTGAAGATGTGTTTTTACGGCGTTTATAATAGTAGCTTCAATCTTCAATGTGACACTTTCTTGCCATTTCTTGAAAAGCAATGTATGGCCCCAAGGAAAAGATAGCGTGAGCCCTAAACGAGAAAACAATGGACAAAACTAAAAAATGAATTTTACAAGGTCAGTTGATAATGTCTTTTAGAGTGGACGGTAGTGGGTACTGCAGGCTACTGTCAATACTCCCATCGGTTTAAGCAATTTTCAACATTAAATATATATAATGGTAACATTTTGAATGAAGTGAAGAAACATCAGCAGATATCATGAAACCTACAAAATAAAATGTTCGTGCCACTTCACGACAAACGGCCCGAAACGGCACATGTGGTCCCCAAGTGATTGAATGAATGTGTTCTGAACGAAAATAATAAACGAATCAAAGTAAATTCTTTTTTAAAACGGGATAAAATGTCAAAAGTTAAATTGTAAAAGCAGGCAACACATCCTAAGTGTTATAATAAAGTACTCAAGTGTGAAAACTTGAACAAAAGATTAAATGGAAGGAATTTAAAATTGCAAATATATCAAAAGAAATCAAGCTGTACAATATTCATAGATCAGACCCATGAAATTGTAGGTCAACGAGATATTTATACATGAAGACAAACATCAAACATTTGAATAAATGTGTTGTCGCCTTACTAAATTTTATTCTATAAATAACATTTTAATTGTCGTAATAAGGAACGGTGTCTTACATATCAATAGATTAGAACGGATTTTTGTATTCTACACAAATCCGTAGGTGACCTGACAACAAATTTATACTGTTTAGACATATTTTGATAGTATAAAAGATCAAATATAACACCTGTAATGGTATCATTTTTTCAAAATCAAATTATTTCACGTAAATATTGTCATTCGGTGTCGACTTTATACGTATCTTCTAAGAAATTGTGGATGAGATACTATTTGACCAGTTTTTCATTTAATAATCAGAAGCAAGTTATAATCATTTTCCTAAACTGTTATACGAATTGCATCCAAGAAACAATAATTTGAAAGAAACACAAACTAGAGGAAAACAAGAAGTTTTTTTTGTAACAAAAACATATGTCTCCCAAAAACTATGTATGGTCAATCATGTGAAGTTTCATTGAAATCCCACCAGTAGCTTGACCTGTGAAAGCTGAACAAGTTCCACCTGTGAAGGCCGGAAAAGATTTACTATTTTTAGCTCTGGTAGCCATGTTGTGCAGTAAAGGGGAACATACATGTGATTTGCACAACAAGAGATGGCACTGATCACACACGTAAAGTATGGTTGAAATCCAACCAGTAGTTTGACATGTGAAGGCCGGACAAGAATTTTTCTATTTTTAGCTCTGGTTGCTATTTTTCCAGCGGAGCAGAACATGCCGGTTATTTGTGCACAACTAGGGATGGTACTGGTCACTCCTGTAAAATTTGGTTGAAATCCCACCAGTAGTTTTGCCTGTGAAGGCCGTACAATATTTTCATATCTTTCGTTCTGGCGGCCATTTTGTGCAGTGAAACGGAAAGTGTCAGTGATGTGCTCAACTAGGGATGGTACTGACCTCTTTTGTAAAGTTTGGTTGAAATCCCATCAGAAGTTTGATCTGTAAAATTCGGACAATATTTTTTCTATTTTTAGCTCTGGTGGCCATTTTGTGCAGCGAAGCGGAACGTGCCGGTGATGGGCACAACTATTGATGGTAATGATTACTCCTGTATAGCTTGGTTAAAATCCCATCAGTAGTTTGACCTGTGACGGTCGGACAAGATTATTCTATTTTTAGCTCTGGTGGTCATTTAGTGCAGCGAAGCAGAACGTGCCAGTGATTTGCACAAATAGGGATGGTACTGATAACTCCTGTACAGTTTTGTTAAAATTCCACCAGTAGTTTGATCTGTGAAGACCGGTCAAATTTTTTCTATTTTTAGCATTGTGTGCAGCGAAGCGGAACGTGCTTTGATGTGGACAACAAGGGATGGTACTGATCACTTCTGTGAAGTTTGGTTGAAATTCCAACAGTAGTTTGACCTGTGAAGGGCGTACAAGCTTAATTTGGACAGACGGACAACGGACGGACAATCGGACGGACGGACAGACAGACAGCGAAGGCAAAAACAATATGTCTCCCAAAAATTTTGGGAGACAAATAGTTGGTAAAGCAAAAAAGTATGATTTGCAACCCTAAATTTTTAATCTGTGTTACTGTAGCGCCCCCACTATATTTGTATTACTGCTTTTATACAAATATTGAGTTCTTTAGATATGATATAAATACATCAATACATTCCTCTCATGGGTACAATAAAATTGTAGGAAACAAAATAGAGGACAGAAGCAAGAAACCTTATTTTAATTTTGTTTTGTTTATCCATGTATAAAAAGCAAAAAAAAAACAAAAACAAAAAACAAAAAACAACAAAAAACCACCCCCCCCAAAAAAAACCCCCAAAAAAAACAAAAAAACAAAAAAACAACGCAACAGGTTTTGTCCGATCAAGTTTTATTGTATAAAACTATAAATGAAATCTCGCTTGCAAAATTTCACTTGAAATACACAAACAATATAAAAACAAGTATCCTATTACATTGATATTCTTTATTATGTATTAAATTTTGCGTCTTTCTTTGACGCCAACTAGGATTTCGCATCAGACTTGTGCCAAATGAATATTTATTCCTGAAACTTAAGACACAGGCAAACAATTTGGTATGTAAAACTTGCTGTTGGCTGACACAGACCACTTTGATGTCATTTAACCTTGTCGCAGCATTAATTAAATAGTGTACATCTGCTAGCGCAGATTTTATGCAAGAATAACTATTTTCCGAATTAAGTTGCTTCACCATAAATTAGATGATTAAGTGCAAAAACGAATATGTACAGAAAAATTACAAATCATATGCATTTCTATTTCGAAGGTAATATCTTGAAGGTAATTCAATTGTAATTCTAATTATCATAATATAAGCCGTTTCAAATAGACATTTACGTATGAACGTCTTGCTGAATAATGTAAAACGAAATCAATTTCAGAACAATAATTATCATTTAAATTATAATTACAAATTAGTAACCAGTAATGAAATCTAAATTTAATTTCAGATTCGAAATGAGATAAAAGTTGTCATGATCGGTAAATCCGGTAATGGTAAAAGTTCAACAGGCAATACCCTGCTCGGTTACAATGGCTTCACTGTTGGGGACAGTCTAAATGCCGTCACAGAAAAATGTCACATCAAAAAGGGCTGTTTAGAGACGACACAAATAATCAAAGTCGTTGACACGCCAGGGACTTTTGACGAAGATGGCTCTTTTGGAGAAAGAGCTCTTGAAATCCAGAAAGCAGTCAAAATATGTCCAAATCCGAATGCATTTGTATTAGTATTTAGTTCAACATGTCGGTTTACAGAGGAAGAACGTTATACTATTGATCTAATGCGCATTATATTTGGAGACAAGATCTTTGACCATATGTGTATAGTCTTTACACATGGAAGCAAATTTCAAGATGAAGACCATTTCAAAAAGTTTTGGAAAGAAAATAAATGTGTTAAAGATTTGGTTGAAAGATGCAACGGCCGCATTTTCAAAATAGAGAATCTGAAAGAATTCCAGGATAAGGATGAAAATATTCTTAATCTCATTAAAACAATTAAAGACTGTCCTGAGTACAAGTACAGGTACCTAGCAATTCACCAGGCAGAACTTAAAGATATTTTGAAAAAGTACACTTCAGAAGAACAGAACATTAAAATGCAAATAGAGGACTTGGATAAAAGGCTTAATAAACGAGTGGATGCAAAAATTTGGAATAAAAAACTTTTGACTGGTGCAGCCATAGTAGGATCAGCAGTCGTATTAGCTCTTGCAGCAAGTGAACCAAAAGCTGCTGCAGCAGTCGGAGTTGCTGTTGCGGAAAAGGCACCAAAAGCTGTTGCATAAACCGTTGAAGCTGGGATAAGAGGTATGATTGGGGATTAGTTATCTTGACCTATAGCACAATGGTTGTGACCTAGATCAAAGAAGTGTTGTTATTTCAAGTTAGTTAAAGTTAGAGACATAAGTATTTGTAGAAATAATAAATGCTTTGTTTTAAATAATTGTGTTTAACATAAAGGCTTTATTTTGTTTTTTGTTTTGCATATACTAATTCCATGAAACTTACGTAGAAACCTTTAGACCTATAGGATATTATTTTAAAACGTCGCGTCATTCGGAATCTTAACATCAGAGTGGTTTATTAACCATTCCTGATATATTTTTAGAGAATATCAGCATTTAGTGTTTAAAAAGTAGCATATATTTTCAAATTTTACCCTAAAACTGATGAATGACTTTATCTACATCTTTATCTAGATTAAGATGGACAAGTCTATTTTGGAGATTTATTTTGGTAACGTTGACATCTTTCACTGTTATAAATTCAGTACGATTTTCCCTTTGACATTCGTTTTAAGTGCCGGACTGAATAATCAGGTTATAAAAATAAATGCATTTTCACTACAGACAATTTACTGGTATATGTTTTAAGGAGATGATTTTTTTATCCAATTGAAAATAATGTGTTCAATCGAATATAAAGTGATAACAGTTTGGTGGCTGATTAACGGCACAGAGTAGTTTTGCATTGTCGACTTGAAATGCATATGACAATTTAAAGTTGTAATGTTGAAAGACTTATATGTTATCAATACAAAATGTTATGAAATCAAAGATGAAAAAACTATACTAAGCTCAATTAAATTAATAACTAACTGTATCCCCTTCATACTACAGAACACATCTGCTATTAGTTATTCATTTCTTCAGATTGTATTATACATCATGCCCTTCTGACTTTTATATTGAAAAATAAATATATATTTGTGATTATATGTTAAAATCATAGTTTGATTAAAAGTTTAACGATGATTTTTTACCATACCATAATGTACATTGTTGGGTGCAGTTAGCACAACGATTTCCCTTCTTAATTGTTAATAAAGATTCCAACCTTTCATTCAAGTTTCGGATATGACCAAAGCTGTCTGACAATTCATTCTGGATCGGCCATCTGTTCTCTATGTATGAAACAGAAAATATTTGTAAAAATATAATTTTCTCGAGTCAATCATTTAAACACTTTTTTGTCTGCAGCCGTTGTGGATCTGTTTTTACATTAGTTTGGTTGGTCTTCTTCACAACAATTTAAGACTCAAAACCCTTGCACATGCAAATTGTTTTGGTCTGTCCCGCCATACCTCGATAATAAACTTTATATAGAATTTTTGTCTCATTTTAACAATTAGTAATACTTCAGATTTTTGTTCTTCCCGTCATGGTAATGGACTTTGAATTATGAAAGATGCACTCGTGTTTCCACAACCACAACTTGTAACTCACTATGTAAAGAAAAAAGAAAACGTGATATACAAATGCGCATTATATTTCTTAAGCGTTGATGTAATGTTGATTTTCTCTTTTGTACATAAGTTTTTTATTCATTCTTAAAGTAGATTTGCTAGTATATTGTTGTATATAAAGTACTTAACAGTTTCGTCCATATCATATTGACATGAACAATTTTGATATTATTTATTTTATATTATTCAATAAAGTATTTTTAATACAGATAAAGTTCAAGTTTTATCTTGGAAAAATATATTGAATGAATTTCTTCTTTTTCCCATAAACTGGTTTGTTGTTGTAAAGTTGAATTTTATCTACAGAATTTAACACAATTATTATCTAACATTGCATAATATTTTTTAGAATTACCTAACTTTGCATAATATTGATTAAAAGAAACATTTTTTTTTAAATACCCCATTAATAAATTTCAATATTTAACAAGAAATATGGGCCTTTAATATATTTTTTAGAGGAATTGAATTACTTAACGGACAATGATGTTATATGGGCTTTTAGTGTATTCTTTTTTTTTTTTAGAGTAGATTGAATTAATTAACGGACAATGATGTTATATGGGCTTTTAATGTATTCTTTTTTAGAGTAGATTGAATTTATTAACGGACAATGATGTTATATGGGCTTTTAATGTATTCTTTTTTTTAGAGTAGATTGAATTAATTAACGGACGATGATGTTATATTGGCATTTAATGTATTCTTTTTTTTTAGAGTGGATTGAATTTTATTAACGGACGATGATGTGATATCGGCTTTTAATGTATTCTTTTTTTTAGAGTAGATTGAATTAATTAACGGACAATGATGTTATATTGGCTTTTAATGTATTTTTAGAGTAAATTGAAGTAATTAATGGACAATGATGTTATATTTACTTAGCCTGGCCAATTCACAAATTGTTCAACATTCAATTTGCCTGCCATAGAAAGTTAAAAAAAGTTGATTTTTCTTGTTCTTTAGCAGTTATATGTTAATAAATATCTTTAGTTTGATATCATTTTACAGTTTTTTATTTTAATTTTGTAAAACTCTTTCTATTCATTGTGAATGTTAAGCTTTAGGCATTTGTAAAGTTAATTCTGGATAGCTGTTTGCAGACAAATCAGATATTTCGTTGTTACATACTGTGCAATTTTTTATGTAGATGTAGCTTCCTCTGTGATTCATAAGTTCATTTAACCAAGCATCTAAGGGAATATTAACATTCTGCTGCTAATATTTTAAGAAGAAACATCTTTAACAGCTCTCTAAGGTTAATTTATTAATTAATTAATTTATTTATTTTGGGCACTTTGGCATTAAAGTAAATTTTAGAGATTATTTGAATTCCCTGAAACATTATTGATGAATTGTTAAAAAAAAAAGTATTTCTTTTTTACAGAAGTAATTAAGATCAATTAATTTCCTTTCTTCTTTCAAAGTGACAGCCATCTTGAATTATAAAATCTATTTTTGTTGATACAGATTATACATTTCAGATGTCTTAGTTTAATAGCATATACCATTAAGGTTATGTTTCATATTTTTAGTTAACTTTCAACTGGTTTAAATCTTTTATTCACTAGTTCATTTTGATTATCATGATTTTGGTTAAATGAGAATAGTTTAAATGAAGTACATATTGTCAACTTGTTTAGTAATAAGAAACTTTTATTTAAGTGTAAATAATAACTTAGTTTATTAAAAATTTGGTTGATTTCAACTAATTCAATATTTGTGTTTTATCTCTCTTTGAATTTTAAAGCTGGCGTCATCCTGACGATTAGATTTTTCCTGAATCATAAAAATCGTATTTAACCACTTCTCCTCAGCAAACTAAAAACATACAAAAGTCAATATCAGGTATAAATTAACTTCATTCTATCCATAGAAACAAGCGTATAATTTGACACCACAACAATGGTGTCAGAAGTGAGATAGTTTTGAAAATAGTAAATTTTCTCAACTCAGGAGTATTTTTTTAATATGAATTTTTTGTATCTTTTAAACATATGGATTTTTGTGGATGTAAATTATTTTAATTCAAAGTCAGTTATTAAAAATACTAAGGTAAGTCACATCAGTTAATACCCTTGACCTAACGTTTCTCCTTCAACTGCTTCTGGGTGATCTGTTCACTTTCAACTGATAGGGGCGGCCTGAAGATTGAAGCTCAAAGGTGCATGCTTGAACAGCTCGCTTAGGTTCGTTTTATCTTATATAAGATATGTCGTTAAATACATTGACATCCTCCTTTCTATACAGAGAAGAAGTCGGGCAAATCTGGATGATATATGGATACATCAGTCTATCAGTAATACAATAATATAGGATTATTCCTGGCTATACTGAGTGGAAGCTGGAGCAAAATCGTGTCAAACATGATCTTAGCGTTAAGAAAGTCCTTTTCTGTCTTTCAGCCAGGCCTAAGATATGAGGTTGGTCAGACAGAAAAACTAACAAAGGCAGAACGTTTACAATTGTACAGGAATTTTTTTTTTTGAAAAAAAAAAAAAAAAAACGCCGTGGCACAACCAAACACACCGACTAATTTAACCTAAAATGTTTTTTCATCGCCGGTTACAATTTAAGAAACTTTTTCGGAAGCACGTTTGTGTTTCATTCAAAATACGGAGCAAAATAGATAAAGATAATGAGCAATTATTGATCATTTCCGGGTTTAATATAAACTAATCGTCACCTCTACAGTAAAGTGGATATCGTAAAATGTCGAAAAACTAGGACAACTGTTGTTTACATCACGTATCAAAAGAATTTCAGTAGTATACCTGCACATCAATATCAAAGTGAGAAAGTGCCTGCGGTGGTATTTAGGGGTTAACAAATATACCCGATTTACCAAACGAGACTGAACGTACTGGTCGTGTAACAGAATAAATGGTTGGTCTCTATATATATCCACTTTACTGTAGAGGTGACGATTAGTTTATATTAAACCCGGAAATGATCAATAATTGCTCATTATCTCCGTATTTTGAATGAAACACAAACGTGCTTCCGAAAAAGTTTCTTAAATTGTAACCGGCGATGAAAAATAATTTTAGGTTAAATTAGTCGGTGTGTTTGGTTGTGCCACGGCGTTTTTTCAAAAAAAAATTCCTGTACAATTGTAAACGTTCTGCCTTAGTTAGTTTTTCTGTCTGACCAACCTCATAAATAACCCGCTATTAAGATCAGATATGCAGTCCCTTTAATGGTCTCATTAGCGAGTTCTCACTGCAATTTGAGAAAAAGAATAGAGCTATGACATGAAAATTTAACATATGGTTTTTGAACACGTATATTTCACATTATACATAATTTTATTACAAATGGCCTACTTTCAAAGTGCTCCTTGTCATAGTTTTCCGATGATTCATATGTGACTTTTTTTTAAAGGAACGATAACACTCGAGTTAAATCAAATATATTAAATAATTGCCACCATAAGAATCATTAAAAAAGAACTTCAGCTGGCCGAGTCCGGTAACTTTGTGACTATACACATGTACGTGATTTGCCTTAGGAAAAAGTCGAATGTTTCCTTGATCAGGTGTTCTAGTTCAACATTGTCATTCTTGTCAGCACATGGACAAAAGGACATCGCCTGGAACACTCCTGTCAGCACATGGACTAAAGAACATAGTCTGGAACACTGGACTTCTAGCAGCTAAAACTATCATAATTATATTCTTTGATTGTAGCCACCTCAAGGTGATCTTTTCAGTGGAAAGTCACATCAGTACAAAAGACGTTGGTCTTACATTTCTATCATACATGCTCCGGATCTTTTCGTTGTTACTATCCGATTATAATTTAGTATTAAAAAGATTCAAGAACGTGAACAGCGTCGCCAGACTGCATACTTCACATGTCTGTAATATTGGTATTAAAAAATTTGTTGAGACAAATATGTATGCGTTTTTTGATTGGTTATGACAAATATATCTTTTTGATTACCTAGAGTTTATGAAACGCAATGCTTTTTAGGAAATATCAATTGTGAGAATAATGCACGGTTCGAGCACAGGATATATGACAACGAGTCATTAATTACGAAACATTTGAACGATAAACCATGCGCAAGACAAATGAATTTCTTGTTCAATTCTTACATAAAAAGAAAATTAAAAAGAGAATTGATAAAAATATGTTGAACTACAATGTTGGTTAAAGTAGGCAATATGCCATGAAAAATTCCTTAATAAATGCACTGGACTCTTCTAGCTGTTTTAGCGGAGCAAATTAGAATGTAATATATAAGCTTGTTGTAGAACAAATGCAATTGGCACAAACTTACGATATAAATATAATCCTAAAATTATTCACTTAACATAAAAGCAATTTTAGTTCGTTTAACGCTATGATGATCAACTTGATTAAGACAACTAGACTACTGCAAAATCGTGTTTATATGTGGAACATTAATTTACGTGGTCTTCATGGGTTGGTCGATCTACGAAACAAAAATCCAACGAAATTTCATTTCTTCAGCTGTAAATTTATTTTGCATCATATGTTTACATTTGAACCTTTGAAAAAATAAACAGTCCAACAATTTGAAGACCCTACTACAAAACCAAAAAATTTCATGCCCAAGAAATAAAAAATCACAGTATACTCTACCGACAGCCGAACGAATAATTGCTGTAGACTTTGGCCTCAATTCATAAGTGTTTCATTGATCAAATGTAAATTGGTATGGGTTTGTAAATGTTTGTTTTCATTTAAAAGTTCAATTCTATTGCAATTGAATAATTTTTGCTTTTTGAAAATAGCTATTTTTTGTAGACAAAAACATAAACTTTAAATTTTACAGTTGCAGGTAACAAGCATATATATAATATTTCAGCTATCAAGAAGCGTCGTTTAATGCATAATTTATAACTTAATATTCAATTTTTTTATTTCCTCCATAACTGAAGAGCATTTACACATTATCGAACATAATATGCAAGTTAAAGTCCGTACAAAGGATCATATATTAAGTATATGTAAATACAAATTCTTTATGTATAATATTTATGAATTTAAATAAATATTTATAATGTCAGAATATTTATAAGAAAGGCAAACCTGCGTTTTGTACTGTTTGAATCTTTAATATTAGATGATCATCTCACGAGGAAAGCAGCGAAGTATGTGCAATAATTTGACATAAACAATAGAGAATCGCTAATGACACTCCACTGAGTTTGTTTAACATGACAGGACTGGAAATTATTTTTCGAGACAAGTGTTCCGTTTTCTGTAGGTCTACATCAGTAACTTGTGTGCATACTTTTGGATTATTCGCTAACTCTGTTTTTCTTTAGAGTAAGTATTTTAATTGTGATAAATGACCCAAAAGCTTTGCAACGCTTTTCACTCACATCGGTCTTAAAATACCACAATGATTTTCAACATTATGTCTGAGTTTTGAGTCTATTTTTCATTTAACATTTGCATATTTTCCTGTTTAATTGCCCAGCTGATCTATGTAAGAATTTCAGATTTAATTTATTTAAATAACAATAACTGTACTTTAGTTTTAAAACAAGAACGTGTATGTTAAACACAAATGCCCCCGGCTCCGATTCTTGTCAGTAGCAATATTTCAAAAAATGTTTACCCATTCACTCAGTTATGGACAGAAACATTGCCAAAAAATTGTACACACAAGTTATATAGCTTGGCAGAGTCATGGCATTTTGTAATTGTGAAATATATAAATTGCCAAGTCCTTGCTATGACTTGTGAAGTGATAAATATTCAACTTTATCAAATATATATAAATGTAAGAAATCTATACTTGGCACCCTTGACCTTGACCCACTGACACCTATAGAATATCATGCAAGTTATCTTCCTACCAAATATGAAATACACCTATCAATAAATAAAGGCTGTATGGGCAAAAATGTTAAAATCTATGTTGAGCACTGATGACCTTGACCAAACTGACCAAGGGAGGTCCTCCTTCTTCTATAGTAAGGGATAATTTGGGTCAAGGTCAATGTCACCAATGTCAAGGTCACCGATGTTAAAAATAGATTTTTACATTTTTACAGGTGCATTAACTATATTCGATAGGCAGATGTCATTTATAATTGATAGGAACATATATAAGTTTCCAAGTCCTTGCTATGACTTGTGAAGTGATAAATATTCAACTTTATCAAATAAATATAAATGTAAGAAATCTATACTTGGCACCCTTGACCTTGACCCACTGACACCTATAGAATATCAAGCAGATTATCTTCCTATCCAAATGACCCCTTACTATACCCAAAGAAGGAGGACCTCCCTTGACATGTTTGTATTAAACATGAAAGACATCAACCAAAACATAAAGGCTGTATGAGCAAAAATGTTTAAATTTATTTTTCTAAACCAGTGACCTTGACCCTAGAGACCACTTACTCCACAAAAAATAAGAGGACCATTAAAGGTATCCACCTACCAAATATGCAAGATATCATTAACTAAATTAAACAATTAAGAGAAATTTACGATAAATCCAACTTGCCGAAATAGGTTAACCAGACAAGGCCCTATTTTCAAAGTGAAAAAAGGGAAATAACTGGGAAATATGGATGACACAGTTATATAACTTGGCAATATCATGTACTTTGTATTGATAAGTAAGTGTGGAGATTATGAAGCCATTAGTATAGATAGAACTTAAGATATTTCCAACTTGCCGTTTTAAGTTAACCATTATTCATTTTCTATGTGCTGAAAAGGGCAATTGTTTGATAAATATGGAAGCCATAGTTATGTAACTTGACCAGATCATGTACTTTGTATTGATTAGTAAGTGTGTAAACTAAGAAGTCATTGGTACAGGTAGAACTTAAGAAAAATCCAACTTGCCGTTCTAGGTTAACCTCGTACGGACAGACGGACGGACAGACAGACGGACGGACGGTTCAAAATTACTATATGCCCGAGGGCATAAAAATCTGACACTTGTGTTTAAAAAATTTATCACTAGTATACACTAGTATATTGACTTGCAGTTTTAGATATTTAAATGCTAGAATAACAGCAACAACACTTAAACAACAACAAAATAAACAACAACAAACCATTACTTTTTAGATTATTATTTTATTAACATATAAGTAAACAAATCTGAAATTATAATTTAAGAATTTATGGTAAAGTGGAAATTAATATATACCACTAAAATTTAATAATAACCACTTTTCTCAAACTACAGCCTCATCAATAAGATGAGCAGGGACCGGTTGACAGCATCTTAAAAGATTCCCATATTGTTGTTCAACGAATGTAGAATCGTGTCCAAGTCTTAGTAAATATAACACATTTACACGAGGGTCGTTCCATGTGTAAAAGACATTCACAAAATAGAAATATTGTTGTTCAGGCCCGGCTAAATAGTTTCCAGAATGCTACTTAATTAAGAAACAGCTTATGTACGGATACCTACCCAGACGATAATGAATATATTGCATGGTGCTTGTATGAATGCCACACGTTCTGCCGTCCCAGTTCTTTTGACGGATAACCTTGTCAGAAAACGCCAATGATGGACCCGTGACCTTTTGCAAAAGAGTGCCCAATATTAAACCACCGTTTACTGATGAGTCAAGACTATGCCCAGACTTCACAGAATGAGGCACCAGAGTGTGAAGACCAAATGACCGTATGCACCTGTTTGAATGACGGGACACGATCGATATGTTATGGGAAGAATAAGTGTCAATGACAAATTGTAACTCAATAATTTTTTATATCGGAATCTTGACAGGACAAAGATTGTCGTGAGATTGCGTACATACATTATATGCCGGTATAGTGGGTCCAGAGTTTAGTCAAATACAGGACATACTGCCTTCGTCACTACCCAATACATTACACATGAAACAACCGAGCTCTTGTCTTGGTCTTAATCAGATTAAACATGTTTGAAAGATGATGACGTGTCGCATTGTGCAACCAATCACTATCTAGATATTCGTGCTGCCTAACAAGAAAAGTGGACTAGAATTTCACAATTAAATATCAATCGGTAGATTCACAGCAGGTCGATATCGATATTGACACTTATTTCATGATCTATTTAGAAATTAATGTATTTTGTTTTGTTTTTGAGATAAAATATATTTGAACTTTCTCCCTGTAATTAACTAACTGATCTACATGTATTTTAATACTGTTAAGATATTTACATATATGATTCACAAAAATTAAATGTATATCTTAAAATTATACCAATATGTATATCAGTCATTATGTTCAAAATGATTATATGGACACAATTCTTCCGGCATAAATTGTTATGCACCTGGTTATACGTCTGTCCGAGCTTACTTTTGGATTATTATTTGGCTAGAGGAACAATAGATAACTGTACATTTTCTTTGATCTCATTCATCCCGTACGATTGTATTTGACCTTTTTCTTTATGTTTTAAGAACAATAGAGAGATCAATGAAGTAGCCACGTAGGTACTGCATTGTTAGAACTTCCGTCCGCATATATAATAAACTAACTAGAAACTTATGCATCTAAATTGTACATGTATTTAAGAAACAAGTATCAGGGCAACAAAATTCATAAAATTCCTTCAACCTTGTGTATAGACATTGATCAGAGTTGAAAGAAAAATTTTCAGAACTGCAATTTTTCGTAAAAACTTTGGAAAATTTAATGAAATCAGATATTTAATGGAATTAAGACACTCTCTTTAAACACCGCGCTTTCGCGTTTAAGCACTGGTGCTTTCAATTGATACGCTGGTGTTTTCATGAAAGCAGACAGGTGCTATGTTTTACGAAAATCTTTATATACATGTGAACTAGTTTACATAAAACGTTTTATCTGGTTTCACAAAAATCATTGAAACTTTTAACACAAAACTTTTAAAGCACTTAAGCCTTTCAACAACATTAAGAGATCGATACCTTATCTGGTAATTTATAAAGTTATCTTACTAGCCGTGTCATGTTAACAAATGATTCAGTCCTTTTAAAAGTCGGATACGAACTGTTTAAAATAAAGAAATAGTGTATGTACAGTTGACGGAAAATTTAGTATTTGTATCAAACGTAAGTAGCTAAATTAATGTATTTATCAATAGATTTGTCCATTTTCATTAATAAAAGATTAACGGAATTTTAATATGTCTAAAATGTTTCGGAATGTTTTGGTGGCTTGAGTTTCTCCGGGCGGGCATTTTTTGCCGTTAAGAAAGGACCCCTTTTGAAATTGTTGATCTTTCCCTAAAGACTCTGCAAGATTAACGTTTGATTTTATTTATGAAAAAGCCTACTGGTCATATTTTAAAGAGTGCACACTATTCATGAATCTGACCTCGCAAAGGCATGTTTATGCGGTCCAACCATATCACTGACCAAATTCTTGTATGATAGCCATTCAGTTTAAAGATGTATTATTAAAGTACCGTGAATCTACAAGATCTATCTTTAAATGTATCGCATGTTTGGGTTATGTATCCCATGATCTTCAGGTGGTATACGTCACTAACATGCTTTATTGGTAATATTGCACAGTGCGATATCACAGAGAAAGCACGTACCTTTAGAAAAAGTGTGCATTGTTTCAAGTAAAGAGAAGTTATTTAAATTCACTTTGTTCATGTATAATCGTGATCACAGACAAAACAAGAAGGGTATCGTGACTGTATCATAATACAGGCTAGAATTTTATAAATATTTTCCTATTTGGGCTAGGGCATAGGTGATGAGGGTACTGGGCATTTTGATTTTAGTAGAAACAAGTTTTGACAGGAGCTAGGACGTACTGAACAGTTTTGTAATGTTAAAGTCTTAACCTTTTTTTTCTATATGTTTTTTTTGTGGTAAGAGCACTCCCCATATAAACCTGTTTCTGAGTAGGAAATACTCGCTATTTCACCACTTTCAAGTGCCTGAGATGATAAAAAATAATCGTGTTCAAGGAAATAAATTTCAAAATCTCTTGGCATGTGATCATTTGACGGTTAGCATTTCATCTTTACAGCAAGTTTATCATGTGTTTGTGGTCAAATAATCAGCAACACTCACAATATCTCTGACTGACTTTCAAGCTATGAAGTTTAAGGAATAAAAATATAAATGTAATAGTAACCGAGGTTTCAAATAAAGTATTTAAATTAATGAAGGAATGAAAAATACAAACATAACTTTATATGTGTAATAATTAAAATTCTTTTTGTATGTTTATCATATGACAGTCACGTGTACATTGCACATAAAACCCGACAGTTTTGTGGAATTATCATGGCTCGGGCTGCATCTTGGTCTTGACACTCTCTGTATAAGGTCATTATTTAACCATTTAAAAGTCTCGTCTTTGAACGTTAACTATAATTTAGATGAGAGTCTTTATATTTAGAAGATCATGTTTCAATTTACAAAACCTTTTTAAAATCATTCAATTTAAGATTGCCTGTTTTCTTTTCTAGATGAATAATAGCACTGGAAGAAGTATTATTCTTCTTGGAAACAACGGGAGTGGGAAAAGCTCAGTGGGTAACTCTTTGTTAGGGAAATACGTGTTTTCTAACCCAAAACTGTCAGAATGTAAACAAATAAAGGATTTCAGCACAAACCATAATATTTCTTTAAACATAATAGATACACCGGGACTGTTTGATGCGGACGTTTCGTTAGCTGAGAGCGCTCTTCAAATTCAAAAGTCTCTCGACATCTGCCCTAATCCACATGCATTCCTGATTGTTGTCAACACTAATGATGGCAAGGAATATTTGGACTATACTGTAGATATGCTGCCCCTTATATTTGGCGAAAATGTTTTCGATAATGCTATTGTCTTCGTGAATCATAGAGATGAGTATGCTGCAGATTCCTGGGTCAATGAACATCAATTGGTTTCGCGTTGTGGTCGCCGTGTTGTTACAGCAAAAACCCTTGATGCTTGTATGAACAAGGTAACGGGTGCTGTCATTCTGAAGAAAGTAAGTTTGCTGACAAGTAATGGAGTATCTGTATATAGCCATAAATCTATAGAACTCCACAGACGTGTCCTATTGGGATGCATGTCAGTCTGCGGAAGAGGAGACGATATTAGATCTCAGCTGAATGAAATGAATACAAGGCTTAAAGCAATGCTTAATAAAAAGCATTCCAGCAATGTAAGTTATCAATTAATATATTCATATATTCAGAGTATATTCAGTGATTATTGCATTACCTGCATTATTTATTTTACTAGTCCGTTACAAGTTCTTTCTATCAAAAAGGGTATATACTAGATGGAAGATTTATGCATTTTTTTTCGTGCATGAAAATCTGTAAAAGCATTAGAACGCATTTGAACTGCATATTTTAATGCACGAACAATGATACAATAGCGCTATTTTTGCATAAAATAAAACCTGTTTCGTCATGTTTTTTTCACAGTGTTAGTGCGATGTCATTTGACGGTTATGCTTTCATAATGAAAGTGCCTAGGTCATTTTAATGTATTTTTCCTCCATTTAGTGCTACAAATAAACCTACATATATTTTACTAGCCTGCTAAAAGGTATAACTGGTCTATGTCAGTCAACAGGAAGTTTTATATACCAAACTGTTCGTCTGGATCTGTAGTGTCTGCATATTCATTTCACCAAACCCTGATGCGAAGCTGATATATTCAAGATGGCGTCAAAGATGGCTGCCAAATTCCTCAATATTCCTGTTGTCTGTTTTGTAAATCAGTTTAATTTTACATGACATTTTTTTCAACTTACCATTGCTTTTAACTTTATTGTATTTTTTTCTAATCATTATCTTATGTCTACGTAAGAAGTAACAATTTGCTTCAAACTAGGTGTCCTTGCTTAAAGTGTCTAGCTTGATGATTTCTTTTTGATGATTCCGTTTAATACAGCTTTAAGGTTGTAACATGTCCAATTTTGCTGTTTTGATTTTCTTATGGTTACTACTTTCTCTACTTTAAAAAATGAACAGTGTCCATAGTCTTTAAGGTTAACTGATTACATAACCCTCATTAATAGAGAACAATCAAACCGAGCATGCGATTGTCAACTACTCCTTTGTTTTCATTGCTTTTGAGTGATCTTCCTTTTTCCAGATTTCTATACTCACAACAGCAGGCGTCAAGTGCTGTGTGGCAGTCGACAATTATATAAAAAAACTAAGGTCAACCAGAAAGGACGATTTTTAATAAATGCATCCCACTACACAATTGAAAAATAAAATAATAATACAAATAAAATTAAAATACAAAAATCGGATATGTTAAAAAACGTACAAAAGTACAAAATTGAAAAGTTATGGACACGGTTTGTTTGAGCCAGTTCATTGACGATACTGGAAAGGAAAGTGCAAGTTACCGTTGACGCTTATTTGCACCTACTTCATCAGAATTCGACATTTAATCATAAAATAATGACATTTGTATTGAGAAACATCTGCAGATGTGTTTTTACAGCGTAAAAATTACTATTATAAAAAAAGTAGCTTCAATCTTCAATGTGACACTTTCTTGCCATTTCTTGAAAAGCAATGTATGGCCCTAAGGTAAAGGTAGCGTGTGCCCTAAACGAGAAAACAATGGACAAAACTAAAAAATGAATTTTACCGGCTCAGTTTGATAATGTCTATTAGAGTGGACGGTAGTTGGTACTGCAGGCTACTGTCAATACCCACATCGGTTTAAGCAATTTTCAACATTAAATATATATAATGGTAACATTTTGAATGAAGTGAAGAAACATCAGCAGATATCATGAAATCTACAAATTGAATATAAAATGTTCGTGCCACTTCACGACAAACGGCCCGAAACGGCACATGTGGTCCCCAAGTGATTGAATGAATGTGTTCTGAACGAAAAAATAAACGAATCAAAGTAAATTTTTTTAAGACGGGATAAAAGGTCAAAAGATAAATTGTAAAAGCAGGCAACACAACCTAAGTGTTATAATAAAGTACTTAAGTGTGCAAACTTGAACAACTATATTAGAAAAGATTAAATGGAAGGAATATAAAATTGCAAACATATCAAAAAAAATAAAACTGTACAATATTCATAGATCAGACCCATGAAACTGTAGGTCAACGAGATATTTATACATGAAGACAAACATCAAACATTTGAATAAATGTTTTGTCTTTTTACTAAATTTTATTCTATAAATTACATTTTTAATTGACGTAGAAACGGTGTATACTACACAAATCCGTAGGTGACCTGACAACAAATTTATACTGTTAAGGCATATTTTGATAGTATAAATGATCTAATATACGTTTCTACGTCAATTAAAAATGTAATTTATAGAATAAAATTTAGTAAGGAGACAAAACATTTATTCAAATGTTTGATGTTTGTCTTCATGTATAAGAAGTGATCAGTACCATCCCTAGTTGTGAACAAATTACCGGCATGTTCTGCTCCGCTGGGAAAATAGCAACCAGAACTAAAAATAGAAAAATTCTTGTCCGGCCTTCACAGGTCAAACTACTGGTGGGATTTCAACCATACTTTACGGGTGTGATCAATACCATCTCTTGTTGTGCAAATCACCTGTATGTTCCCCTTTGCTGCACAATATGGCTTCATGAGCTAAAAATAGTAAATCTTTTCCGGCCTGTGAAATTTTAACATTTTGTGCATCGAAGCAGAACGTGCCAGTGATATTTGCACAACTAGGGATTGTACTGATAACTCCTGTATAGTTTTGTTAAAATCCCACCAGTCGTTTGACCTGTGAAGGCCGGTCAAAATTTTTCTATTTTTTGCTCTGGCGGGCATTGTGTGCAGCGAAGCGGAACGTGCTTTTGATGTGGACAACAAGGGATGGTATTGATCACTTCTGTGAAGTTTGGTTGAAATCCCAACAGTAGTTTGACCTGTGAAGGGCGGACAAGCTTAATTTGGACAGACGGACAACGGACGGACAATCGGACGGACGGACAGACAGACAGACAGCGAATTTTGGGAGACAAATAATTGGTAAAGCAAAAAAGTATGATTTGCAACCCTAAATTTTTAATCTGTGTACTGTAGCGCCCCCAATATATTTGTATTACTGCTTTAATACACATATTGAGTTCCTTAGATATGATATAAATACATCAATACATTCCTCTCATGGGTACAATAAAATTGTAGGAAACAAACTAGAGGACAGAAGCAAGAAACCTTATGTTAAGTATTGTTTTGTTTATCCATGTATAAAAAGCAAGAAAAACAACAACAAAAAACAAACAAAAAACAACGCAACATGTTTTGTCCTATCAAGTTTTATTGTATAAAACTATAAATGAAATCTCGCTTGCAAAATAACACTTGAAATACACAAACAATATAAAAACAAGTATCAGATTACATTGATATTCTTTATTATGTATTAAATTGTGCGGCTTTCTTTGACGCCATCTAGGATTTCGCATCGGACTTGTGCCAAATGAATATTTATTCCTGAAACTTAAGAAACAATTTGGTATGTAAAACTTGCTGTTGGCTGAAACAGACCACTTTAATGTCATTTAACCTTGTCGCAGCATTAATTAAATAGTGTACGTTTGCTAGCGCAGATTTCTTGCAAGAATAACTATTTTCCGAATTAAGTTGCTTCACCATAAATTAGATGATTAAGTGCAAAAAAGAATATGTACAGAAAAATTACAAATCATATGCATTTCTATTTCGAAGGTAATATCTTGAAGGTAATTCAATTGTAATTCTAATTATCATAATATAAGCCGTTTCAAATAGACATTTACGTATGAACGTCTTGCTAAATAATGTAAAACGAAATCAATTTCAGAACAATAATTATCATTTTAATTATAATTACAAATTAGTAACCAGTAATGAAATCTAAATTTAATTTCAGATTCGAAATGAGATAAATGTTGTCATGATCGGTAAATCCGGTAATGGTAAAAGTTCAACAGGCAATACACTGCTCGGTTACAATGGCTTCACTGTTGGGGACAGTCTAAATGCCGTCACAGAAAAATGTCACATCAAAAAGGGCTGTTTAGAGACGACACAAATAATCAAAGTCGTTGACACGCCAGGGATTTTTGACGAAGATGGCTCTTTTGGAGAAAGAGCTCTTGAAATCCAGAAAGCAGTCAAAATATGTCCAAATCCGAATGCATTTGTATTAGTATTTAGTTCAACATGTCGGTTTACAGAGGAAGAACGTTGTACTATTGATGTAATGCGCATTATATTTGGAGAGAAGATCTTTGACCATATGTGTATAGTCTTTACACATGGAAGCAAATTTCAAGATGAAGACCATTTCAAAAAGTTTTGGAAAGAAAATAAACGTGTTAAAGATTTGGTTGAAAGATGCAACGGCCGCATTTTCAAAATAGAGAATCCGAAAGAATTCCAGGATGAGGATGAAAATATTCTTAATCTCATTAATACAATTAAAGACTGTCCTGAGTACAAGTACGGGTACCTTGCAATTCACCAGGCGCTACTTAAAGAACATTTGGAAAGGTACACGTCAGAGGAACAGAACATTAAAAGGCAAATAGAGGACTTGGGTAAAAGGCTAAGTAAACGATTGGATTCAAAAATTCGGAATGAAAAACTTTTGACTGGTGCAGCCATAGTAGGATCAGTAGCAGCAGTCGTATTAGCTCTTGCAGCAAAGGAACCAAATACTGCTGTAGAAGTCGGAGTTGCTGTTGCAGAAAAGGCACCAAAAGTTGCTGCAAAAACCGTTGAAGCTGGGATAAGAGGTATGATTGGGGATTAGTTATCTTGACCTATAGCACAATGGTTGTGACATAGATCAAAGAAGTGTGGTTATTTCAAGTTAAAGTTGGAGACATAAGTATTTGTAGAAATAATATTTAATAAATACATCACGATAAACAGTTATATCGATATTTAAACAATAAATCTTACAACAAATAAGTTAGTGATAGTTGAATAAATTGATAAAGGTTCTTTTTCTTTGTTAAGTCCTGTGTCTTCTTCCTACAAATAATCAGAACGTGTGTCATCTTAGGAAATATAGCCTTAATCCCAGTAAGGTTCTTACAAAAAATCTTCGGTCAAAAGACAATAAGACCGCTGATCTCCGTTTCCTTTTTTATTTAGCTTTATTATTGATTTTTTGGCATCATCACATGTTTTTTATATGGTCTTTTCTAATAGACCTAAATGCTTGGTTTTAAATAATTGTGTTTAACATAAAGGCTTTATTTTGTTTTTTTGTTTGCATATACTAATTACATGAAACTTACGTAGAAACCTTTAGACCTATAGGATATTATTTTAAAACGTCGCGTCATTCGGAATCCTAACGTCAGAGTGGTTTATTAACCATTCCTATTATATATTCCATATATTTTAGAGAATAACAGCATTTAGTGTTTAAAAAGGAGATTTTCAAGTGGCATATATTTTCAAATTTTACCCTAAAACTGATGAATGACTTTATCTACATCTTTATCTAGATTAAGATGGACAAGTCTATTTTGGAGATTTATTTTGGTAACGTTGACATCTTTCACTGTTATAAATTCAGTACGACTTTTCCTTTGACATTCGTTTGAAGTGCCGGACTGAATTATCAGGTTATAAAATAAATGCATTTTCACTACAGATATTTTACTGGTATATGTTTTAAGGAGATGATTTTTTTTATCCAATTGAAAATAATGTGTTCAATCGAATATAAAGTGATAAAATTTTGGTGGCTGATTAACTGCACAGAGTAGTTTTGCATTGTCGTCTTGAAATGCATATGACAATTTAAAGTTGTAATGTTGAAAGACTTTTATGTTATCAATACAAAATGTTATGAAATCAAAAAACGATACAAAGCTCAATTAAATTAAAAACTAACAGTATCCCCTTCATACAACAGAACACATCTGCTATTAGTTATTCATTTCTTCAGATTGTATTATACATCATGCCCTTCTGACTTTTATTTTGAAAAATAAATATCTATTTGTTATTATATGTTAAAATCATAGTTTGATTAAAAGTTTAACGATGATCTTTTACATACCATAATGTACATTGTTGGGTGCAGTTAGCACAATGATTTCCCTTCTTAATTGTTAATAAAGATTCCAACCTTTCATTCAAGTTTCGGATATGACCAAAGCTGTCTGACAATCCATTCGGGATCGGCCATCTGTTCTCTATGTATAAAACAGAAAATATTTGTAAAAATATAATTTTCTCGAGTCAATCATTTAAACACTTTTTTGTCTGCAGCCGTTGTGGATCTGTTTTTACATTAGTTTGGTGGGTCTTCTTCACAACAATTTATGACCCAAAACCCTCGCACATGCAAATTGTTTTGGTCTGTCCCGTCGTACCTCGATAATAAACTGTATATAGGATTTTTTTGTCTCATATTAGCAATAAGCGTTATATTTCAGTTTTTTGTTCTTTCCGTCATGGTAATGGACTTTAAATTATGGAAGATGCACATGTGTTTCCACAATCACTTAAAACAATCACAACAACTTATAATTCACTATGTAAAGAAAAAAGAAAACGTGATATACGAGTACAAATGTGCATTTTAATCTTGATGTAATGTTGATTTTCACTTTTGTACATATGCTATTTATGCATTCTTTCAGTAGATTTGCTAGTACATTGTTGTATATCAAGTACTTAACAGTTTCGTCTATATCATATTGACACAAACTTTTTTGATATTATGCTATTCGTATGAAGTATATTTGATATAGTTAAAGTTTTATCTCGGCAAAATATATTAATTTGCATTAATTTTTGTCTTTTCCCAAAAACTGGTGTGCTGTTGTACAGTTGAATTTCACTTACACAATTTAACATAATTATTATTTAACATTGCATGATATTTTTAGAATTACTTGCATACTTTTGATTAAAAGAAGCATTACTTAAAAAAATACCCTATTCATAAACTTCCATATTTACTAAGAAATATGGGCTTTTGATGAAGTTTTAGAGAATTAATTAATGGACAATGATGTTATATTTACTTAGCCTGGCTAATTCACAAATTGTTGAACTTTCTCTTTTCCTGGCCTAGAAACTTAGGAAGCTGTAAGTACTTGATTTTTTCTTGTCCTTTAGCAGTTATAGGACTATAAATATGTTTAGTAAGATATTAGTTTCTAGTGAATTGTTTATTATTATTTTGTAAAACTCTGCTATTTTTATGATCATTGTTAATGATGCTGCTGCAAAGTTTCCATGACTCATAACATGTTTTTAGAATAGCTATGCAAAGAAATGTTAAGTCTAAAGCATTTGTAAAGTTAATTCTGGATGACTGTTTGCAGACCAACCAGATAAGTTGTTACATAGAGTGCTACCTGTATATCGATGTTAGCTCCCTCTGTGATTTAGAAGTTGATTTAACCAGGCATCTCTTTGAGTTTTCACATTTGCTGCTAATTTTTGGAAAAGTTACATGTCTTTAAGCTCTCTAATGTTAATTAATTTATTAATTTATTTATTTAAGTCACTTTAGCATTAAAGTTAACCTTAGATTTAATCTAAATTTGATAAATTTGTGTAAATAATTTAAGTAATTTCTTTTCACAGAAGTTATTAAGATTCTTTGTCCAAAATGGCAGCCATCTTGAATTATAAAATCTATTTTTGTTGATATAGATTAAAACATGGCTTGCTACTATTTAGATGTATTAGTCTTATATCACATAATCATTAAGGTTATTTTTCATATTTTCAGTTATAAGATTTAACTTTCATCTGGTTTAAATCTTTTATTCACTTGTTTATTTTCATTATCATAGTTTTTTTTAGGAACAGTTTATATTATAGTACATATTGTCAACTTGTTCGGTTTTAAGTAACTTTTAGTTAAGTGTAAATAAAAACCTACGTCATTAAAAGTTTGGTTGATTTAAACTTATTCAATATTTGTGGTTTATTTCTTTTACTCCCCTTTGCGTTCAAAGGGTGGTGTCATCCTGACAATCAGATTTTCCCTTCATCTTAAAAATCATTTCAACAACTATTCCTGAGCAAACTAAAAACAGACAAAAGTAACTAACTTCATTCTATTTACAGAAACAAGCTTATTATCATCAATACAAAGCGTATAATTTTGAGCGGTATTGCGCCCACGCTTTAAACTCCTTATTTAGCAAAAACTTACGAACTGAAATGATCAGTATAAAAAATTAGGTCTGATAAGAAACTTTTATTATCCTTTTAAAATAATTTCACAAGTGTTTGTAAATTTAAGATAAAAGTGCAATAAGATCCGGGTTTATTTTGGTAAAGACGCTTAAATATTTCCGGTGCAATTTTTCATAATTAGTCAGGAACAGGACAGATATAATCGTATGAAAACGTGAAACTTGTTTTGTCTCACGAATCGTACTTAGTCATGATTTGATTTCAACAAACACACAAACAGTCCTATATCATTTATTAATTTCTGATAAACTGAAGAAGTGATTGTCTCTGTCATGAAATTTCTGACACTGTTATTTATCACTCTCAAGACATTGCTGACATCGTTTTCTTTTTATCTCTGTCATTACATTACTGACAACGTTTTTACATCTGTCATCACATTACTGACAACGTTTTTACATCTGACATCACATTACTGACAACGTTTTTACATCTGTCATCACATTACTGACAACGTTTTTACATCTGTCATCACATTACTGACAACGTTTTTACATCTTTAATAACATTACTGACAACGTTTTTACATCTGTCATCACATTATTGACAACGTTTTTACACCTGTCATCACATTACTGACAACGTTTTTACATATGTCATCACATTATTGACAAAGTTTTTACATCTGTCATCACATTACTGACAACGTTCTTACATCTGTCATCACAACACTGACAACGTTTTTAAATCTGTCACCACATTACCGACAACGTCTTTACATATGTCATCACATTATTGACAACGTTTTTACATCTGTCATCACATTACTGACAACGTTTTTACATCTGTTACCACATTACCGACAACGTTTTTACATCTGTCATCACATTACCGACAACTTTTTTTAAATCTGGCACCACATTACCGACAACGTTTTTACATCTGTCATCACATTATTGACAATGTGATTGATCTCTATCATCACATTACTGACAATGTAATTAATCCGTGACGTGACATCACTAATAATTTTTTATCTCTATCATAACAAGACTTAGAATGTTGTATATGTCGGTCATGACATTACAGACATTGTTTTTTTTTATCCGACAGAAATTACTGACAATTTTATTTATCACTGTCATGAATTTACTGACAATGTCATTTATCCATGTCGTGATATTACTGACAATGTCATTCATCCATGACGTGACATTACTTACATTGTTATTTATACCCGACAAAAAATTTCTGACAATGTCATTTATCCATGCAGACATTAATCTCTGCCATGACATAACAAAGAATGTTTAATGTCATCCTGCTATTGCCATTTTTTTGTGATTATTTATGCTGGATAAAGCCTTGCCGGATGAACTTGTCCTGACTGTTCCTACAAAAACTGCTGGAACATGATGGTATCCTCCAAAACTTTTATGTTCAGCATCATCAGTTGGAAAATTCTTACTTTCCTACATAACAGAAAAGACTCAAAAATCCATTCCAACAAACTGACCTATCATCCCTTAATTGGCGATCATCAAGCAAAGCCTGTGATCGCTGATCGCTCTTGTTGAAATTTGTTTTCTCATCTGTGGGCATACCGCTTTAATAATTTATCTTATAAATCAGTATTTATGAAGTTACATCCGGGAATTGTTAAACTCCCTGCACGTTGTGCTTATTTGTAATTTGAACAGTCACTTGAACAGGACTGCATACGGTAATATCAAAAAGACACGTAAGTACATTGTTTTTGTTCATATTTATTTTCTCGGTGATACATATATAATTATTTATTTTTGCTATTTTTGTTAAATAGAAGATTTTCTTTAAGAACTACGGAGACTTTTGCTTTAAATGTTATATAATTCAAGATACGGTATGCAAAATAGCATCAACATGAATCAAAACGTGTCAAACATTTTTTTCTTTCTTAAACTATTAAAAAGAATGAAAACAAATCTTTGAAAAACTACATACAAAACAAAATCGTCCTGTACAGTTGTGCGTGTATTTTAAATCATTTATACTCGCCACCGGTTGCCAATATAGGCTAGTCCTCCAGAAGCGTATGAGTCATTTCAGATATTTTAGTTTTGGTTTATTGAGAATAGTGCAAAATACAGATAGAGAAAGATGCACCAATTACAGAAGCTTCGCGTTAAAAATATTTAAGCACTGAAACACGGTACCTCGATTCAACCGAAAGACTGATTAGTAATTTCAGTTGACCAGCCCGGGAATCGAACCCATAATATCGAGGTAACAAGTCTCTCACTTTAACCGATTGAGCTTTATATGTGGGATGGCAGTACAGTACAGTTTCCGTTCCAGTACCTATTCTACTGGTATTTATAGCACATATCATTATCATACTTTGTATGCAGTTAATATGTCTGTTTAAATCATGATTAGTTCAACTCAAAATAAATATATTCATAGTCGTTTCTATATTATCATAAGTATCAATATGACAGTATCAGTATATTAGTTGTCGACATCATCACCGTCTTCGTCATTATCATCATCGACGCATGCTTTAGCTACCGATTATGTTAATCACGTAAATGATGATGATTATAATAGTTATCAAGCTACACATGTCATTGCTGCTGCTGCTGATGGTGATAATTGCCAGCAACTATTGTGTTCAATCAGTGTTTATCACATAAACCAAGGCGCAGGAGTATAATGAACAGAGGATATTGAATGAATGCAAGTTCAATACTGAATTTATTGAACGAGTTGAATAAAATTATACATGTATCATGCGAGCCTCTCACCTATTTTATTTACCTCAACTTAGCTTTATGCGGCGTCATTGTGCACACCTTTGTGTCAAAATCCTGATAGTACAAACGTTGATCTAACTCGCCAATTCGAAATTAACAATTGCTTATAAGGAATCTTAAGATAAATTACTAAAATTGCGGCACGATATTTTATGTTGAATTATGACAAACTGGCCTTATTTAATAAATTAGCATGAAAAATGTAAAACATCTATTTCAGGAGCATGGGTTTTATTATTCTTCTCTTGACAATACTGGTGCCATTTTGTCTGGCCGGTGAATCTTGTTCAAAAGGTAATGTTACGTCTTTTTCTAGAATTTGTAATACTATGTTGAGCGCTGAATTGCAACAAAAGTCGAGTGGTTTTTGTGTCAATTTGGCAACTTTCTAGACCGACTGAATTACTGATTTTGGCTAACTTATTGCGAAAAGATACAACGTATTTTTAGTATTGTGTGGAGTAGAAGTAGAAAAGGAACCAAATCCCACAAACATAAAATCTAGTTATCCATATTCTTTTTTAGAGATCTTTATAGAGTATAGAATTATTTGTGTCAAAATTCTGCTGATGTAAATGAATATTTTCAACAAGCAAAAATGTGAAAATAATTAAATGCATAAGAATATTGCACGGTGTAGGCCCCAATTCACTCTTGCTTTCTAAAAATGTTTAAGACCTTTGAACTTTGTTTGAAATTCATCTTAATTATATTCAAGAAACTTCCAAATTGAAAACCAAATGTATTCTAAGAAAAGATAATTCTTATACAATGCACTGATTTGCTAAAACAATAAAATATCATTTAAGCATAATTGATCCATTTTTGTTTGAACGAATTATTCCATTCCTTTAATAACGCGCCTCCCAGAAATGTTAACTGAATTATTAGTTTAAGAAAAGTTGTAAATAACAAGTTTGGTAAGTATATCCAGTATATATGTATAGCAAACTGTGGAAAAAGTTAATTTGTCTCACACGTGTTTTTGTCTTAATTATTTATAGAATCATGTGACTGTGGAATAGATGGCAAGTGGAAGAATGAACTTGGATCTACAATGACCTTGTCCTGCAAGGATGGCCAGCTTGAGGGTATATACAACACAGCCGTCGGACAAGCCGAAAACGACTATATTTTATCCGGCAGATACACACTTTCTGGACCCAGGAATGACGGGTAGAACTTGGGCTGGGTTGTCTCCTGGAATAACAAGAAATTTGGAAACTCCCATTTCAGCGACAGCATGGTCAGGAATATATTTCCGGAAGATGGAATTATCCGAACACAGTGGATGTTGGTACGCTACGCAGAGAGTAAAGACTACTGGAGTACAACTCAAATTAATCATGACGAATTCATACGAGTTAAATAATGTAATATTGTTGACTAGAATTTTGTTTCTGTAGATCATGCTTACGAACAAATTTACTCAAGGTTTTTTTTATATAGAATACACTGACGCACGAATTCACTTATTTTTTATATTTGTAGAACACACTTTTAACAAATTGACTAGAATTTTTGTAGAACACGCTCAAGAACACATTTACCAGAACCTATGTCTTTTTTAAATACGCTAACGGTCAAATTAAATCATTTTTTTTCATATTTGTAGAACACACGAACAAATTTAGAAGATGTTTTTAGAACACGCTTTTAAACTAATTAAATATCACCTATTTATAAAAATGCTAACGAACAAATTTGCTAGAATATTTTTTGTATAGCACGCTTAAATAGATTTTTTATATAATTTCTTTTTGTAGAAAGCACATAATTATAACATTCTGTTTTGTTTTTATTTTTTGTATAACACGCTTACAATCATACAAATTTACTAGAATTTTCTTTTTGTAGAATGGTTTACGTTCAATTTTACTATATTTTGTTTTATGCGTCGTGGAATTCGCTGACATTAAATTTAATAGAAGTTTTGTTTTTTAGAACATGCTTATGTACAAAAGTACTTGTTTTGTCATGAATAAAGAAAGTAAGGAATATGGTTCATTGATATTTAAAAAAAAAGAAAACTTAAAAATACCCTCTGTCTGTTTATAAGAATTTCCAACAGTCATTATTCAACAAAAGTGTTTAAGCACACAAAAAAAAAACCCACACAAAAAACTTAAGCTTCAATTATTGAAACATGAAATGAAATTATTTACTTTGAATCAGTTAAAGGGTTTTTTATGAGTAAATAGCGTAACGACTCATCCCATTGAAAATTTGAATCATTTTGAATTCAATACCACTTGCCCCTCATCGATGTGGGTTCGAATCCCGGCACGAACATTGAATTCTCTCATCTATGGAAGCTATCCAGGTAGGTTACGGAATGCCAATGGCTCTACTCAGGTACCTGTTCGTGTCTGAAAGAATGCACGGAAGAGCACATGAAGTTTTCCTTTATAAGTAAAGCTGGAACGTCGCTATATGACATGTACTGATGACATATTCTGTGTTGGTGCTGGAACGTCGCTATATGACATGTACTGGTGACATATACTGTGTTGGTACGCCCCAAATAAAGCTGGAAAGTCGCTATATGACTAACGACATATACTGTGTTAATGTGCCGTGTCACATCCCCCTGCGAATCCCACTCCAAAAGAAAAAAAATATAAATAGAAAAAAAAAAATAAATAAACGAACAAAAAACCCCCAAAAAACCCCAAAAACAAAACACAAACAAAAGTCCCGTGGATTGACTACCTAAGTATATAGGACTTTCGAAAACAGTTAGTATCAGAGCGGGGGGCTAATGTGCAGAGGTAACACTGTCTGTCTACCAATCAAGGGTCGTGAGTTCGATCCCCCTCTACTCCACTAAAAGAATGAAATGATTACGAGACTGATAGTACTTTAGACACTAAAAGAATATAATATACAAACATAGTTCTTAGGCCGACGGCAAAATATTTTTACATATTTATTTAATGCAACCTTGACAGAATATCAATTAACACATACAGACAGCAAAATAACAGAATCCAATACAGATTGAATTCTTCACGTCCTGCCGAGAAGAACACATACAAGAATTCTAATGGAACAGCAAACTAACAAATGAAACACAAAAAGACACATACAAATACAAACCTTATAAGAATAAGAACGGATGAACAATACATAAAGCTAAAAACTAAACCAACATAGTAACTAGAAACTTAAAATAAATTTGAATATTTATACTTTGAAGATGTTTTTTTTTTATTTTCTGATGGATGGCACGAGAAATTTTACCGATACGTCTGTGAATATGAGTAAAGTTTAATAAGCATATATCCCCGAAAATGGCTACTCTTCATAAATGTAAAAAATTCGTTAATGTCAATTATATCTTACAATCTCTTCTACAAATGATAATAATTAAAACATGAACATAACTTAAGCTAAATTGTGTACATTGTATAAAGACAAACATAGCAAAGGATATCGACGACAAAACCCGCTGTTTTGTATTTCGTTTTTATTATGTTAACAATGTTGATCTGGCACACTCTTTTATTCCTTATCCACTTTTAAGACCACCAATTTCAGTCTTTTCTTTATCTAACCCCACTATTGAGACCACGTATAATCCATCTATTACCTATGTAGTTCACAAGTTTGTTGAATACTCTTAAGCATGAAACCTGATGTTATAAGGTTATAAGGTGTTAAAGATCCTGTATGTGGTAATTAAGGTTGTAACCATACTTATGTGAAATTTTATATATGTATATAATTATGCTTCTAAACAAATTTCAAACATCAAAGACTATGTAAAATATGAACTGCAAATATTTGTCAACATTAATATATGTAATATTAAAAATAATGCTTTTGGGATCTTCATTTGAACATTATATGTATGCTAGTAAACCATATCAAATTGAGTTACAGGATCTTTAAAACTGTTATGATTGACAAATTGTATAAAGTTAGGTGAGGAAATAACCACCAGGGTGGTTTAAAGTTACTTTCTGCACACAAAAATAATTTTTTATTTAACAGACGAATTGTGTACATGAAACATACCTATGAAAATTTAATCTTTAATATTAAATTTCTTGAGACGTATGTTCTAATAAGGAATGAATATAATAACGTTAGTTTATAGTAAAATTTGATGGTTATAATAACTATTGTTTTAACATGTTTGTATATGTTGTTAAAAATAAAGTGGTCATGAAATGATCATAATAATTATCCACAATTTAGACCACCCCGCTATTAAGACCATTTTAGTCCAGTCCCTCTGGTGGTCTTAAAAGAGGGTTTACACTGTATATAACCAGTTGTTAAATAGTCTAAATTAAGAATCCCTCTTACCGCAAATGTTTACATACTAAGGTCAGTGAAATTGTGAGAGTGAAATTCATTTACGCATGATATATTTGAGATCATTCTATCGACACTTTGCATTATTTCAACGAATGTGGTTAACAAGTCACAACAATTTATGAATACATGTAATAGTTACCAAGCGGAACATAATTTCAAGACCAAGGTTTAAGTTTATCAAATTTAAAGTTGTTATTTTCTGTTTGTTTCAACGAATTTGGTAAACAATGCAATAGGAGTTATCTTCCGGAACATGATTTCAGCGAAATGTAAAAAATACATATACCAAGGGTTTTACTACGAAATAATGTTTGTTTAATACACATGAATACAAGACATTTGATTCCAAGTATGAAATCGGCTAAAATATTATATTTTACAAGATTTTTTTATCTTTAAGTTTTCCTTGGCTGATCATGATCTTGAATCGACATATATATGGACCGGTACCGCTGGCCTAGTGGTTAAGGTGTCCGCATTCGGATCGGGAGGTCGAAGGTTCAAGCCCCACGGGGAGCGTTAATTCAAGGATTAATGTTTCTCGCGGGACTCGTTCCAAAATGGCCGCTTCGTGAGTTGCGAGGTAGTTAAAATGAATGGTTACCGATTTCTATCCGCCTGGCACCTGGCATAGTGGTAGGAGTTGGGAGGTACATGGTATGCAGGCAAAAAGGTGGCTCACAAGTCAGACTGTCCCTTTCAGTTGAACTATAATAAACAAGACCTTTACCTTTACCTTTATATAGGTAAAGAAAAAGCCTGGCACTAGGGAACAGTTTATCTTTTTTGCATGGAACCAGTAATAAAAAGCTTTTTTGTTAAGTTAATTTTATTTTTAGGGAAGCTATTTAAGTAAAAAAAATTATATGTATTATAATTTATATGTAGACAATGCATTTTATCATCTTATTTGTTTCATTTTACGTGTAGTAGTAACTTTTAAAATGATATATTATATACAGGTTTTAAACATTAACCAAAACTTATACAACCTCAATGCATATTTTGGGAATTTCGTAAATACCTTTAAGAACATGTAATATTCACGTAGGATTCATTCATTTTATTTCAAATACACATGCAATTATTTATTATCCAAAACATTTTTTACACTATAACCGCTTGGTATACGATGCCACCCTCGGAACTATAAATGAGCCGCGTCACGACAAAACCAACATAATGCGTTTGGGACCAGCATGGATCCAGACCAGCCTGCGCATCCGCGCAGTCTGATCAGGATCCATTCTGTTCGCTTACAAACTCTATAACAAGTGGAGAAACTGACATCGAACAGCATTGATCATGATCAGACTGCGCGGATGCGCAGGCTGGTCTGGATCCATGCTGGTCGCAAACCCATTATGTTGGTTTTGTCGTGACGCGGCTCAAATCATTCTTAAAGTTACTTTGTACTTTAAGATCTTGTAACTAAAGTTTTTATATAAGTATGATGCTCAAATGATGATTTATCAATATTATAAGTTCTAAAAAGCATTAATTGAAAAATTAATATATTACAGAATTTTCAATTCATGTGAATAAAGGGAGGTAATTAGAAATTTATTTTCGATAAAGTCTAATTAGAATTAAATGCATACATTTCAAGGACTACTTAAAAAGCGTATGAAGATTTGCAGTACATATTTAACATTTTCTTGGATGTTTGGAAATTATAAAATTCCACTTAAGCGTCGTTACATCTACATGATCTTTAATGCGCAGGGGAGTAATATCGTGCATTATGAACAAAAATATGATCGTGCATTGGGTTAGGAAATTATTCATGAAATGTAAGAGATTTTAAGGCCAATTTTCATTCAATGTATTTCCTTTTG